ATAAAGGATTAATGAAATTAAGCAGACATCTTTGTTAATTACATCATAAACCAGATTAATATATCTTTAGTGGCAACAAAAATATTCTGATAACTGTTACTATCGCATTAATACAATGCTTTTAGTCTTTAGATTACTGTGTACGTAAGATATACAGCTTGCCCAAAGATTGATACTGAATCATCCACCCTAACCAGTGAAGGAATACAGTATAATATCATAATATGGTCTTAACTTCTTGACCCTTCTTTCCTCTAAGAGACATAGAGAAGAACGAGACCCACAAGGAGAGAAAGCCGTCAACCGGTGGCCTTCTCTTGATCAGTTAATTATGGAAGACCAGCTGAATTATCCTTCTGTGCTGCAGAAGTTGAATGGACAATCTTACTTCGTCTCTAAGGTTGCACCTTACTCCCATGCTAGGAATAGCAGTGTCCACAAATTCCATTGCCCCGGACTGCAGAGTCCAATCTCGCAAAATTTTCATGGAAGCTTTGCACCTATTGGCATATCATCCCATTCTGTTGTTGCCTCCGCTCCAAAGGAAGCTGGTGCTACTGGATTTCTCATTGATTTCCTCATGGGAGGAGTCTCTGCTGATATCTCAAATAATAGCTGACATGATCAAGCTCCAGGTGTTGGTCTTCGGAAAGAAATATGGTTCTGGTGGTGAAGGCTAATTTCCAGAACTGTTTTTTTTTTTTTGGATTCACGAGATGAGAGTTATTTATGATGATGATGATGAACAAGTATGGTAGGATATTATTATCTGTGCTTCTTTAATTTTCAATCTTCTGTCAGAATAATTCTTGCAACTAAACACTCATAATTTTCTCTTGGGTTTTCCTGGAAGGCAAATGGGTGGCGCGTTGAACTCTGTTTTTTATCCCTTTTTTTTACCAAGAGAAGAACGATCTTCTTTGTTTGAGAATTAATTGTCTGTGTATTTTAGATTTCTGCAAACATTTTATATTAAGAAATGACTACCAAATTATTTGATAATATATATATATATGGTCTTAATTTTCAAATTTACATTTTAAAGTGGACTCATACTTCCAAATGAAATGCTTTAAGGTTGTCTTAGGATAAATGAATCCATAAAAAAATAATAATAATTTAAATTTTCCTTATGTTGAGTGCTTGACATACCTGCCCAAAGAGTATCTTTGCCATTCATTATCTTCAAGTACATATTTCTCAATCATAATTTTCCACTGTTCTTCAAACTTATCAACCCGCAATTAATGAGTCACACAAACAACTTTTTTCACCATTCCCTTGCTGATTTTATATTCATGTATGCCCCCAAATTCTCCTGCAATGACAAGAAATAAATAATTCTTCTATATTATTGTGCTAACATTAAAATTATTTACTTGGTGTTTTAACATTTGAAGTGCTTGAGCTGTTGGGGCTGTATAACGAGGTAGAGGTCTGCTACTTTCATTTGAGGCCAAATATAATTATGATTCATTGCAATTTTAAATGTTCTTATTATTCTATTGAGATAACCATTATAACAACCACCTCGCACCAGCTCGAGCAAGACAGCCACGTGGAAAGACCTACAGGAACAGCACATGACGAGACTAGATACCAACCGTCCGATTATAACAGCCACATTCAATATGATCAAGCCACGTGTAAAGGCAAATGCCTAAACAGCCTATAAATAGTAAAAACAACAACGGAAGCTCAGCACACAAGAGAACCCAAGAAACCATGTGCAGATGGCGGCTCAGCACATGGGCGGTTATTATGAAACGAACTAAGCAAATGACAGCTCAGCTCTTGTAACCACAATGGTCTATAAATAGACACACATTGTAAACATTGAAGTTCGAATAATACTTTCACAGAAACAGAGCATTTGCTGTTTCTTGCTTTCTTGATAATTCTCTTTCTCTTGATTTTCTACAAATAGGCATACAGTGTAATACATACGAAAATTCAAAATTTCATCTACGCTTTTGCTGAGTCATCTTCGTCCCTGTTAATCTCTTTGTTTTTATGGTATCAGAGCCGACTAGTTCTGTCGCCTTCTCTCGAAGATGAACCAATCTCCCACCACCCCATCTGCATCTGTAGAAATCAATTCAGATAGCTCATCTGAAACTATTACCATCCCTTCATCTCTGAAATTCCTTATCTCAAACATCAAAACACTTGTTCCCACCCAACTGACCACAGATAATTATCCTACATGGAGATCTCAATTGCTCAAACTCTTTCGAGCAATCAACTACGCCAGATTCCTTGACGGATCATCCACAGCTCCACTTAGCAACCGCACTCTGCTCCACCATCTCCACCAGCATCATACCATATGTCTTGAATCTCGACAACGCTTCAGTAATTTGGATGACTCTTGAACGTCGACTGCAAGCAACAAACCGTTCAAGAGTCATACAGTTGAAAAACGAGCTTCATCATATCACCAAAGGCGATCTCACCATGCAACAATATCTCACCAACATTAAAACACTAGTAGACAACATCGCCGCAGCAGGATCAAACCTCGACAGTGAAGACATCCTTCTATACACTCTGAATGGTCTACCAAATCAATATCAAGCATTCAAAACAGCCTTCGAACCAAAATTACACTGATCAGCCTTGAAGATCTGTACTCTTTGCTCATTAGTGAAGAAATTAATATTACTGCTGATAACTTACAACTTACTGCAGCTAATAATTCTCACGCAACTCTATATTCCAGTCGAGGAAGAGGAAGGTCCAGAGGTCGCGGCAGAAACAATAATTTCGATGGTCGATCATCAAACAGACCTCCGATGATCTGTCAAATCTGTAACAAACGTGGACATTCAACTCAACAATGTTGGCACAGGACGAATCTTCAATATCAAGCATCGTCTACACAGCCTACAGCTCTCAATGTTTCTAACCAGAACAACACCGCATAGTGGATTCTCGACTCAGGAGCATCAACCCATATGATGAGCAGCCTGGAGAATCTAAGCTACACCGAGGACTATCGCGGCTCAGACAGCATTCTGGTAGGAGATGGTCGTAATCTACCCATTACTCACACTGGCCGAGGACTTCTACCCACTCCCTCTCGTATGCTAACTCTTTCTCAACTTCTTCATATTCCAAATTTATCTCATAATCTTCTCTCTGTTTCTCACTTAGCTATTTACAACAACCTCACTATCTGCTTTAATTTCTTTGGTTTCGTCATCAAGGATCTGACGACAAACCAGACTCTGCTCTAGGGCAAATGCCGTGACGGTATCTATCCAGTTTCAACAAAACTCTCGACGGGAAAATGCGAACTCAAGTTCTTGTCTCGAGTCGAGCTCAAGCTCGAGATCGAGCCGCCTGCACAATTAACGAGCTAGGCTCGAACACCCTTTGGCTCGAGCTCGACTTGAGTGGTTTGCACCCCTAATCTGATCCAACAAAAATTATCAAATAATGTGGAAAGATTGTTCATACACCTTTTGCTATCTTTGAGAATCGTATTCAATCTGAACAAGAGTAACCTTTAGATTTTTGGGGTGCATATGGTTAATTATTATTATTTTTAATTTCTCTATAAATTAATCTTATACAAAAACTATATTTTAATCAAACTGAGTTCATAAGCTCCTCTTAATGGATTCTTGCAGCATTAAAATTGTTGTGGGGTCATCAAATGAAATGAAGGTGGTGATGGGAAAGAAAGGGAGAGAGACGATTAGGAAGTCGGGAGATGAAAACACAGCACAATCAACAATACAGTTGATATGTTATAATAATAGATAAAAGTAGCCATCTCATCCATCTAGCTCATAAGTACATGTACAACCAACGTGACACAGATCAAAGTTATAGCTACTCATACTCAAAAGTAACAATTTATTGATAATGAGCAGATATAGATTGATTCATTACATGGTAACTAACTTTTGCTCCATGTTACCTCGAAATTTCATGCTCAAAGATCTCGCCGAAAATAATCCATCTCCTTCTGGTTCTCATCCTTCGAATCATCACTGAAACTCTAATTCAAGGAGAGACCTTCAATCCGACACTCTCAAGCTATTTGGAATTCAAAGAGTTAAAGCCCTAATCTTCCAATGTAAACGATTAAGAATCGAGAATTATATACCACAGATAGATTCGACTGAGACAGGGATGCAAGAAGATCAACTTGCCTTCTTGGAAGACGAAAAAGGAAGAAGAAAGAGAAATTTGTGCTGCCTTCATGGATGCAAGTAGATCCGCTATATTTGCATTCACTTGAAAGGCTTTCGTAGTGGTTTAGAAACTGCTACTCTAGGAAAGCTTTAGCAACGCTTTTAGCAGGTGTTAATACCTCTACTAAAGGGTAAAAATAACTAAAAATATATAAAATGCAAAAAATCAAATTTTCTGATTAAATAAATATAAAAGCAAAGTTAAATGGAAGCTTCAACATATATAGAGTAAAATGAATACAAGCATTTCTCCATAGCTAATACAAATACTCAAAATATTCCGCATTTAATACAAGAATAGAAATAAAATGGCATATCATTTATATGCCTTTCAAACTATCCCTGACGTCTCATCCATCGCTAGACTAACAATTAGAAAAGTCAGCTATAGAAGATCCATCCATTAGCTATAAAGAAGTTCTTGCTTTTCTTTACTGTAACACGGCTAACACTAGTGATTGGCTTCATTCCAAGCTTCAGCATGGCCTTTCCGCTAAAATCGGTACTAAAAACATCATTCTCATCATAAACATTTCTCTTTTGAATGAAGCAAAATAGTTTAAAAAATACATAGAATCCTCTATATATCTTCATCTCATGACTTCCTCATTGTCTCTTTCCATTTCTTTCCCATCACCACCTTCATTTCAATTGATGACGCCTAAAAAATTTTAATGCTTCAAGAATCCAATAGGAGAACTGATGAAATTAGTTTGATTAAAAATGAAGTTTGGTATAACATTAATTTATAGAGAAATTAAAAATAATAATAATCAACCATATGCTCGCCAAAAATTGAAAGGTTACTCTTGTTCAGATTATTAAGTACGACTCTTCAAAGCTAGCAAAAGGTGTTTGAACAACCTTTACACATTCTTTGATAATCTCTACTGGATCTGATAAAAAAATAGTAAACAAATTGTATAATTGGGCAAGATGGTAGAACTTAACTATTACCTATTGCTTACTCCATTGCTGAAGTCAAATACGTCTGTGATATTTCCATCATCATCTCCACTGTCGCAGACAACACCTATAATCTTCTGCGTCATCTAGCAGGTGAATTGTCCCTTTGATGTTGCCAAAGGGCTATGTTGATTACCACACCCTCTGTTGCACCATGCGATGGTGGAAACTCCACCAGCTTTATTAGCTCCGACAAGAGCTCGTCGAGATCCCAGTCAGATGCACTCCTCTTCATGCTTCTCCCCACTTCAAGAGAGAGATGGTTTTGAATTCTTCCTCACACTTTTTTTTTTTTTAAATTCTTCCTCACACTTTGGGCTCTTTGCCTCTCCATTGTCGCCTTAATTTTTTATCCCTTTTTTATGACGAGGGATACCAAAGAAAACAACAACAGGCGGAGTGAGGCGGATCCAAATTTTTTTTGATATGGGGATACAAATCATTGAAGTAAAAAAATTCCCAAATTTTTTCATATGGGCATGGGATCGATATTGACGTTTTTGATTATTTTTTTAAATCGTTAGTTTTATTATAAAAAGATAAAATATATGATAAAAAAACTTGCATGTCTATTTTGAATAAAAAGAACAATAATGATTTGATCGTAAGATATTTAACATAAACTGGGATAGATTGTTATTACCCATTTTTCCAATATTTTGGAATCTACTATTTTTCAAAGTTGACTATGAAGCATGAACACTACAATAACTATATTAACAAAGATTCTAATATTGAAACCCTACTTTTTTTAATTTAATAAGAATTATATGTGATTTCATTAAAAAAAATCCCCCACGGAATTTCTACACGGCTAGATCTGATAGCAATCAACTGATTTGAACACATCATGTCTCCAAAAAAATTTTCAAACTCAAAATAATATGCAGGAAAGCTACAAGATCTAGCGATCTTACAGGGCGTTGGGCACTGAAGAGGGCGACCGGTGGCGTTCAGGCTTGGACGACGTTGATGGGCAGCCGGCGGCAGCTTTCAAGCTTGGACACCGTTGAATGGGCGGCCGGCTGCAGCGCTCGGGCTTGGATGTTATGCGACCAGTGGATGCGAGATGTTACGAGACGTTGAATGGGCGGCCGGCGGCAACGTTCCGACTCCGAGCAGGTGTGTTACGCGACTAGCGGATGCAATAGAATAGAAATTTAAGAGGCCGTCGGGCTCTGAAGAGGGTTCCGAATAGGAAAAAGCAGAAATAAGGATGAAAAAGTTTTTTTAAAAAAAAACTTAATAAAGTATGTAATTAATGTATGATTAATACTATTAATTAGTTTGTTTTCCCAAATCCAGTGGGGGCCGGTGCCCCCATGGCCCCCAGTGTGCATCCGCCGGACCTCGAGAAGCTCTTGTTGGAGCTGCTTAGGCTGCTGGAGTAGCCTATGTTGAATTGTGCAGCGGCAGTTGGCGTCGAAAGGACTACTCACCTGCTGGACGACGACAACGATCATGGATGGTGTCGACGACAGTGGAGGCGATGATGGAAATATCACAGACGTATTTGGCTTCAGCGATAGAATAAGCAATAGGCGATAGCTCAGTTGTGCCATCTTGCCCAATTATACAATTTTTTTACTCTTTTTTTAAATCTTATCCAACTGAAAGAATCAAACAATGTGGAAAGATTGTTCATGCACCTTTAGTTAGCTTTGAGAGTCCCACACTCAATCTGAGCAAGAGAAACTTTTAGATTTTTGGCTTGCATACGGTTGATTATTATTATTGTTAATGTCTCTATAAATTAATCTTATACCAAACTATAATTTTAATCAAACTAAGTTCATCAGTTCTTCTTAATGGATTCTTGCGGCATTAAAATTGAAATGAAAGTGGTGATGGGAAAGAAAAGGAAAGAGATGATTAAGAAGTCAGGAGTTTAACTACAACACAATCAATAATACAGTTGATTTGTTATAAAAATAGATAAAAGTAACCATCTCATTCATCTAGCTCATAAGTACATGTGCAACCAACATGACACAGATCAAAGTTGTAACTACTCATACTCAAAAGTAACAATTTACGGATAATGAGCAGATCTAGATTGATTCCTTACATGGTAACAAACTTTTGCACCGTGCCGCCCCAAATTTTCATGCTCAAATATATCGACAAAAAAAATTTGTTTTCTTCTAGCTTCTCATTCTTTGAACTCATCACTGAAACCCTAATTCAAGGAGAGAACTTCAATCCGACACTCTCAAGCTATTTTGAATTTGAATAGTTAAAGCCCTAATCTTCTTATGTAAACAATTAAGAATCGAGAATTATATACGACAAATAGATTCGACTTGGATAGGGATGTGAGAAGATCAACTCGTCTTCTTGGAAGACGAAAAAAGGAAGAAGAAATAGAAATTTTTGTAGCCTTCATGGAGGTGAGCGAGTTTGCTTTCTTTTATCCTTGTCCCAATCGAATCTATCTGTGCTTAATAGTTTACATCGAAAGAGTGGAACTTTAATTGTTTGAATTCCAAATAGCTTGAGAGTGTCGAATTGAAGTTCTCTCCTTGAATTAGGATTTTAGTGATGAGTTCGAAGGATGAGAAGCTAGAAGATGGCGGATTTTTTTCGATGATATCTTCAAGCGTGAAATTTTGAGGCAAAATACAGTGCAAAAGTCCATTATCGATTACGGAGGCATTCTACTCATTATAAGTAAATTGTTACCTTTAAGTATAATAATTAGTTACAACTTTAATATGTGTCGCATTGGTTGTAGATGTTCTTAAGAGCTAGATAGATGATATGATTACTTTTTATCTATTTTTATAATAGATCAAATGTATTGCTAATTGTGTTATAGTTGATTAGAATTGATTTACCTTATATAATCTAGTTTACTTGTTGTTAAAGCCTTTGCAATGTCTTGTATGGCCTTTTAATCCTCAGTCATAGTCAATTTATTTTTGTTTGTATTTGTTATATATACAACTTCTGTCTTTTTTCTTTCACAAGCAATTGCAAATAGTTTTTTTGGAGGCCAGTTGGGTATAGGCATACTGATATGGTATTCCTTTTTCCCCCACTTTTCTGAATGAGCTGCTATTCTTTTTTTTTTTTTTTGGGACATTTAGGCCATTTGAGGTAAACTCACACACACAACGTCGCATACACAAAGACTCAAACCCAAGACCTCTTAATTGGAAGCCTAAGCTCTCAACCAACAGGCCAAGATGAGCTGTGTGAGCTGTTATTCTTAATTGACAAGTAGCAGCTCCAAAAAAATTTAGTTGCTCCGCCTAATTTTTGAGATGTTCGTCTCTTTTGTTGCTCCGCTAGGGTTTCCGCCTCCCTTTGCTTCGATGGTGTTTGCCGTCTCAAGGAAGTTGTTCTTCTCTAGATCCTCAGTTATTTTTGTGCTTGTGTTATTCTGCATATGGCGAATGCTCGCCTTCGAGATACCTGTTTTCTTAATGGCTCTTCTGCGCCTCTTTCATTTAAGGATGCCTTATCTGGTGTTTCTTCATCTTCTTTTCATGATTTGTGTGTTTCTTCTTACCGAGGTTTGTCGGCTCTTTTTATTTCTGAGGAAGAGATTCGTTCGCTTGCTACACCCTTCAAGTTTTCTTTGGTTGGCCGGTTTCCGGGTAAACGACCTTCTGTCGATGCCATTCAAAAATTTTTCTTTAATTTAAAGCTTTTAGGGGAGTTTTCGGTCACGGTTCTTAATCCCAGTAACGTTTTGATTAAGCTCGTGAATGACTTTGATTATTGCCGGATTTTCTCTCATATATCATATTTTGTGCAAAATTGCTACATAAAGTGGTGAAATGGTCCCCTAATTTGGATGTTGAGTTGGACTCTTCGATTGTGTCTATCTGGGTTTCCTTCCCTCACCTTAGGCCCCATCTCTTTTCTCCTAGGATCCTTTTCGGGCTGGGTTCTCTCTTTGGTCGCACGCTCAAGTTGGATATGGCTACTCCGTCGGGTTCCTATCCATCGGTGGCTCGTATTCTTGTTGAATTAGATGTTACAAAAAATTATCCTGAAAAGATTTGGATTGGTCCTGTGGAAACGGGTTATGTTCCAACTGTCATTTTTTATGATCTTCCCCATTTCTGCATGCATTGTAATTCTTTAGGATATTTTAAGGATGTTTTCCCTATTTTGCATCCCATTCTAAATGTTCCTAAACCTGTGGCTGCTCCGTGCGAGATGTCTAGTTTGAATGTTCTTGATGATGGCTCTAACGTTGCTCTGAAATTGTCTACTATTTCAGTCCTGTAGTCTGTTGTTCAAGTGGACAATGCGGTGCCGGGTGGTGATGTTGGTACTCCTGATGTTGCTTCTACTGTTTTGTCCCTTGATGCATTACCTTTTGTTCCCCCAATTTTGGAATTGGGCTCTCCGGCGCCTAATTGTTCTGCGATAGTGCCTGTTATGTCGTTAAATGGTCTTTGTACAGCTCATGAGGATGTTGCTGAGACGCCCTCTGTGAACCTTTGTGAGAATATTGAAGTTGGGGTTTTACCTATTGTTGTGTCCCCTCGGGCTAGTCATAGTGCGGTTAATAATCTTGGTTGCGTTGTTAATGTTGCTCCCTTGTTTTCGGTGTCTGATTTTTCTAAAACTCCTGAGGTTGTGGTTGGCCCGATTGGGTCTGTTTCTGATAGTGATATTTTGGGTGTGGTTGGGTGTGGTTGGGTGTGTGGGATCTGGTGATGCCCCCATCTCAACCCCTGTCAAAGTTGGTTTAGTTCAGAATTTGTTTGTGGATGTGCCGGTTAACTTAATTGACCCTCGTGACTTGGTTATAATGTGAGGGACAATTCTGGGTTGGACCTTCGTGTGCATCTTGATTGGTGTCATGGGTTTTCTGACTCTGATTCTGTTTCCTCTTCTGTTGGGGATGATGATCCAGGAAATTCTTTTGATATGCTGCGGGACACTCCAGTTGTGTCTGCTGCTTCTCGTGGAAGGGGCAGACGTGGAAGATGATGTGTGTGGGTGGATGGATATTTTTTGGTGATGTTGGAGTCCTTCTAGTTGACAGTTTCTCTTACATTGTGCGTGGTTTTTGGTCCGATTTCTATATCATATTGGTTGGACTATGATGTGGCTGTGGCTCGCTTCTCAGTTGGATTGGCTCATGACAACCTTTGGAGGGGATCCTTTGCTCTGTCGTGTTGTTTCTGCTACAAATTGAACGGTCTGAGCTTGGCTTTTGGGTAGCTGATAGTCTCGGCCTTTTATTGAGCCCTCGGGATTGGATTTCCCATGTATTTGTTTTTTCTTTGTTTCCTGGGGTTTTTTATTTGCTCTTGTAACTTTTGTTTGGCATTAATATATGATTTGTTAAAAAAAAAAAGCAGCTCCAAAAAAATTATATTTTGCAAAATGAACCTTGTAGGATAAGTAGATTCAAGCAGACACAAGCAAATTCAACATAGCTAAATAAATTTGATAATGTGTATAAGTGACTCAAGAAAATTTTTAAGATTCGTGAAGAGCAGTCTACAATTCAAGGCACAATTAATGCTCAACAACAACATCATGGACTCAAAGTTTGCAACATAGTCTGTTGATTTAGTCCTGCCCCTATAGGACTCTTGGTGAGATGTCTTAAATTTTAAAGGTGATCTCGCCTATATTATTTCATTAGGGAAGGTGTTTCTAAGCTCAAGCTCAATCCTTCTCACATGTCAAGGTGGCGGGTTGTACTTAGAGGTGTCAATTTCGGGTCACGGGTCGGGTTCGGGTCAAATCCGGAATTGACCCGGCATTATTTGGGTCAATCCTAACCCGACCCATTTTTACAAATGGATCGGTTGTCTAGACCCGAACCCGACCCGATCTGTTTCGGTAAATCCAGTCAAACCAAACGCTACAGCACAAGGTTTTGCCCAATTTTTTCCATAAAAAAAAAATAAAAAAAAAAACTCTCTGGCAGCAGGCAGCATTTTAATCAAATCCCACTTAGGATTTCCGCATGGCAGTAGCATTTCAGCCAATTAATATGTCATGTGTGGGCAGCTATACGCGACAAACAAAGCGCTCGGGCAGCAGCATTTTAGCCAATTAATATGTGCGGGCAGCTATTTGCGGCAAACAAAGCACTCGGGCAGCGGCATCACTGCTGGCATACGGCAGCTGCATCGCAGGCGACAGGCTACGATTCGGCGGGCAGTAGCTATGCGGCAGGTTAGAGGGCAGTGCGGGCATCGACTATGCGGGCAGACCATGGCATCGGCAATGATGCTAGACGCTAAAGTCATTTTTTCGGGTCAATCCGGGTTATTTTTGGATTTCCGGGTCAACCCGAACCCGACCTAATTTTTGAAACGGGTCCATTTGTTGAACCCGAACCCGACCCCTTCCGCTTCTTCTCCCTAGGCTGGAAGTTGGTGGGAATTAATTAGAATGGGGACACGACCTTCGTGCCACCGCCGGATGAGGAAGACGACAAGCCAGCTGCTAGCACTGCCACCGGAGGAGGACGGCGATGGGAGGAGGCGGCGGAGGACGAGCAGAACAAGATGATTTGATTGAAATGTAGGAAAAGAAGTAGAGC